AGAACCAAGCTAGGATTCTTCTTATTCATTACCAATGGAACGTTGATAAGCTGTTTAGTGTTTTTATTGACAATGGCAAAGACCGTTTGTTCTCTTGTGCTGGTCTTACTGTTTTTGATCCTTCTTTGATTACTTCTCGTTACTNTTCGACGATGAGTTGTGATATCTGCATGGAAGATGGTTTACCAAGTTGTAACATGACGAGAATGGAGTGTGGTCATTGCTTTTGCAATGATTGTTGGAAGGAACATTTTACTGTGAGGATTAATGAAGGTGAGAGCAAAAGGATTACATGTATGGCTCATAAATGCAATGCGGTTTGCGATGAGGATGTTGTTAGGAAGCTAGTTAGTCCTGAATTAGCTGAGAAGTTTGATCGTTTCCTCGTTCAGTCGTACGTAGAAGATAACAGAATGGTGAAGTGGTGTCCAAGCACACCGCATTGCGGGAATGCGATAAGAAAACTTGTAGACGACGGGGATGATGAGGTCATATGTTCATGTGGGCTTCAGTTCTGTTTCAGCTGTCTTTGTGAGTCTCACTCTCCTTGCTCTTGTTTAATGTGGAAGCTTTGGAGAAAGAAGTGTGAGGAAGAGTCTGAGACGGTTACTTGGATAACCATTAACACGAGGCTTTGTCCCAACTGTAACAAACCTGTTCACAAGATTGATGGGTGCAATCTCATGACTTGCATTTGTAAGCAGCATTTTTGTTGGTTGTGTGGTGGAGCTACTGGATTTGACCATACTTGGAAAACTATCGCGGGTCATAGTTGTGGTAAGTATAGTGAAGACAGCGTGAGACAATTGGAGAGAGCGAAAAGAGATTTAGATAGGTATACACATTATCATTTCCGATACAAAGCACATACCGATTCCTTAAAGCTAGAGGGTAAACTGAGGGCGAGCATCCTTGAGAAGGCATTGTCAAATTCAGAAAAGAAAGATCAATCGGTTTTCAAAGAGTTCAGTTGGATCACAGATGGAGCCAATCTGTTATTCAGATCGAGACGGATTCTCGCAAATTCGTACCCTTTCGCTTTCTACATGTTTGGCGAAGAGCTGTTCAAAGATGAGATGAGCGATAAGGAGAGAGAGATAAAGAAAAACCTGTTTGAAGATCAGCAGCAGCAACTTGAAGGTAATATTGAGAAACTTTCAGGGCTTTTAGAAGAGCCTTTTGATGGATATAGTTATGATAAAGTTATGGGGATGAAGAATCAAATCACCAATTTATGTGCTTCGGTTAATCACTACTGCACGAAAATGTATGAGTGCATTGAGAATGAGTTATTGGGTCCAATCCCAACCGGAGCCAACCACAACATTGCACCTTACAAAGCAAAGGGAATAGAGCAAGCAGCTGAGTTTCGTACTGATGTAGGCACATCTTCGGATTGTGGTTCAAGCTGAGGACTTCTTCTATGTCCAAGTATGGGTTCAGGATCAGGGAACTTAAGAAGACACCAGTTGCTCTTCTTTGAATTTTAAAAAGTTAATATTCTAATTAGTTTTATAAACAGTGGATGCAGCCTAGAATAATTATTTATTTTGGTTTCTTTCTTCTTCTGTTTTTGCTTTTCTCGTTAAGGCCAATGCGATTATATTTTGATGAGTTTATAATCATATTCTCTTATAACTTTCAAACGAATACATTAGTTATATATCAAGCATGGATCCACCACTTGATTTGGAGAATAAGAAATTCACCATTTTATATTTCAGTTTTATCATTTTACCACCAATGTGCTCTCTCGGAGCCTAAAGACTCACTAACAAAGAGTTTTGTGTTGGAATGTAAATGAGAAAGTCACAGAAAAGAGAAGATGCTTTTAAATCCAAGATAAGAATCAGAATCAATGGACTTACCTGGAACTGTGGAGCAGAATAATCTTTTGTTGTGCTCTAAGCTGGTGCTGCTTCGCTTTACCATTGAGATATCAAAGGACAAAATTTCTGCAGGTGCGTCAGATTTGATGCTTGGCCTTTTAACAGAAGGACTAACCAATAACCCGTATGCTCTATACGGACTTATCTCTGCGTTTCTTCCTTCTTGAGAAGAGATGGTTAGAGGATCCTCGGTTTTTGATGTGGCAAGTACCGGAGAATTCTTGGTCCTTTTCCTTATGTAGTTGAATATTTTGTCATCTGAGTATGGCCTTTCTGTTTTCCATTTGTCAGATTCATGGGATGTAATAGTTAGAGTCTAAGCAAAAGTTTATAAACTCAAAATAAAATTACAGAATGAATGAAGAAGATTTACGCACCAGTATTGTCTGCAAGTTTTGTATAACCCGGGCTAGTAATTTGCTCTGCGCTTTGTTTGATGTCTTTATTATTTGTAGGTGAGCCGAAGATAGAATCATACTGAAACAGAGGATCGAGTTCAGGAGAAGCATTCTCCACTAAGCTCTTCCTTTTCAGAGTTGATTTTGCTGATGCTGGAGAGGTTTGATTCAAAAAGCTCAACGAAGGAAAACACTTTGCTTTTTCACGAATGTGGTCAAAGACTGTATGTTCATTGATAACAACACAGTCATCATCTTCCATTGTCACATAGGGCTCTTTCTCTGCAAAGAATTTTGGGTTGGAAAAATGGTTAATAACTTGTGACGGATATGAATTTGTGTTGAGCATCTAACCTTCTTCTGAATCGTCATCTATGAGCTTGAAGCTAGGCCTGAAGAAGTAAAATTGAGCAGATTGTAACTAATTTGAGAAGAAAGTTGTATTCATGGAAACTTACGTATATATGTGTACTGGAAACTTTCTGAGCAATCAAGTTAAAGAAAATGTACTCACATATCATCTTTTTTTGTATCCTTTCGGTTTGAAGGTCCAGCTTTGACTGGGTTGTCATCATCTACTGTGCAGACATCCACCATAGGAGGATAATAGTGAGGCAACCTGTTTTCGCTTTTGTAATTTATCTTGTTGGTGTTTGCCTTCTTCAGTAGAAGTGTTTCATGGAGGTCAATACCAACTACAAACAAAAGCCCGGAAATTAACACAGTTGATCAATTACTTTATGTTCCAGTGTCTCACTCACTACAAGGTAATCAACTTTTGCTACCAAACCAGTGATGTTATTTAAAAGACTTAACTGTATTCTTCGAAGATGAGATCGGCCTTCACAGTCACCTTTGCTTGTTGAGGCCTTTCCAGGAGTACGGTGACACAATATGGACTAGAAACAGAAGGAAACAACGTAGAAAAAAATATATTCAAATCTTAGACGAAGAGATGCATCGGGTTAAGGATGTAGAGTGATCAGCATGTAAACATACCTGGAGAAGTCTTCCATTCTGCTGCCAATAAAATAGCACTGATTAGTTACATTTACATGAATGTCTAAAAGAGGCTTATGTGAAACACGAGAATGTTGGTAAAAAGTCATCCATGAACCAACTTGTTATCAGAAGAAACATTATGGGTTTATCGTTGGTTTAAGTGCTCATTACCTTATTTTCTCATGAAAGTGGATAAAATTTTCTTCCTCTGAGCCAACAATCTGCCAGAAAAGAATACAGATTAGTAGCTCATCTAGTAGT